CTTCATGTTTGTCGTAGTCAGAGATGTAGAGATATCTCTGATCATCCATGGTCAATCCCCGACAAGCGATGTTGTCAATGAGGAGTTCTCCTTGAGTTGTACCACTACGACGAGGCCATTGTACGACTCGTTGATTGCTCCAGTCACAAATAATAAGACTATCCGTGCCTTTGTCGATCAATACACCGATTGGTCGATACAATTGATCCAATCGATTTCCTTCGCCATTGCCACCAGCTACTACTTGTCCATTCGTATCACCCATCTTCCATTGGATGATACGCTGATTGTAGTAGTCAGCGATGACCATCGTTTGATCATCATCAATGAAGATACCAAAAGGATGATCGAGCTGATTGGTATCACTGCCTTCTCCATGGCCTCCAGCAACAGTCACTCCATTCTGTGCCCATCGGGCATCGGCTGGAATAATGGGAATTACTACAATGAACAAAAAAAAAAGAAATCGTCGTTGTCGAAGGGATCTCGTCTCTCGTGGGAGCAAGCGCTAGAAATACGACATTCATCTTTGAGAATGCTCGTTCCACAGATAAAAATTCAGAAGTCTTTTCCTAGTTTTTTATGAGAAAAAAGATTTGGTAACGATTCTTACATCTATGTTACTTCTAGTTCTTGACAAGATCTTTTTGATCATAAAAATAATACCTTGAGATTGCTGTAAGGAGGTTCTCCAAGAAAGAGTAATACTAATTCCATGTAAGTTTTTGATAGAAAAACATAAGGATCTGAGGATTTTTTTCAGAATTGCAAGAATTCAGAATCTTTTTGGCAGAATGATCATTTATATGAACATCAGAGAAGATTCTATATGTATCTTGTGAGAAGAATATCGAATCGTTGAACAACAAAATATCAAACCTAATCCCTATGCTTTTTAGGAAACCTTAAGGTTACATGATTTTCTGTATGATGAATGTAGATCTGCCGAAGAATTTCCTAAGTATTTGCATAGAGAATGCCGGTGAAATTTTATAAGGCTTTTGGTAAGTTATGCGAAGCTGTTCGAAGAACAACCGTGATGTACTCTGAGTAAGATCATGAGAAGGTTTGGATACAGGCGAAACTGAACAAAGTTGAGAGGATTCCACGCGAATCTATGTAATCTGAGGGGACTTCTACTTTTGCAAATGCTAAAAAGATGGACGTCAATCCTAACGGAGTTCTCCAGTGACAAACATTGGGATCTATGGATTTTATGGGCTTTGAAAAGAAAGTGTTCTAAAATGCTATTTTTAACTTTTGATGAGAACCATCTTCAAACCATTGTATTAGGGTTCTCGAAGAGAATCTTGATGACTAAATAAGATACTCTGTCAAAATCTGAAATCTAAAAATAATGAGTGTCTTCTATCAGGATTATGCTATAATCCTTATGTAGTACTTGTTCTGAGAAGTCTTCTGTAAGCTCGCATGTTATGGATATGTTCATGAGGATTTGAAGAGTAAGTATTTTGGAATGGTTAATATCAGAGATGGGCAATTCCAACTTCAAAGTTGATGTTTTTTCTCATCAGAGTGAAAATGGAGTAGGAACAGGACAGAATGGAGATGCCTATCTTTGGATTTTATGAGAAAGTTTATAAAGCAATAAATTAATATGTTATTAATTTATATCAATCGTAGATTTAATTATGTTCAAAAACTTATGTGTATTTAACTCTCGGATGCCCAAGCTGATTTTTGGAGATAATATGATAACATGTATTCATATTTCTATGATTTTGATTGCTGGACTGGTATTCTTGCCCAAATTAGATTGTTTTCCTCTTCAGTCTTGTAAAGTAATTATTAGAATTATAGTTTTTCTTTATTTAGAACAGTAAATACAAAAAATTCCCTGAACAAAATGCTCATCACAAACCGATCCTGGGAGGGTTTTCACTGAATTCTTCTGAACATAATGAATATCATAGGCACAAGGGCGGATATATATAATAGAAATCTCGGGACAATAATAATCTTCTCGAAGATTCTGAACAAGAATATTGAAAATAGAGTAGTTGCGATGCCATGCACAAAAAGAATGAAAGAGAGAAGGGATATGCATGCGATGTAAAGTAGACAGGAAAGAAAAAAGAGAAATGTACTAGAAGAGATCAAAAAGAGACAGTGAAAATAGATGCATTTTTTTAAAGCTTTTGTCAGATTCAGAATAAAAGATGTCATTGGACATCTTATTAGATTCTGAGATTAAGAAATATATAAGAACAGAGTAAAGGACTCTGATCTGATTTTATCTGACTAAATAGGATTCATAAACAAAAGAAAGTTATAGCATTACATAATTCAAGTCTTGTCTGCTCTTATTTGATTCTGTGTGATCTATCATGATCTTTTACTTATTTGAGAATTGTTGATTCAATAGTTTCTATTATGGAGAAATGTACAAAATACACAAAATTGTCCTGCGCAAGACAATGTTTTCTATTAATGGAATCGTAAAATCATATTTGACTTCAAAAATAAATGCTTTGTATAATAGATTAGTCAAAGTATAGATATATCTCGGAAATTTTCGCATAATAGAGAACGTTTTTCTTCACAAAACATTTCGACAGAAAAAATATCGATGTCGAAGTTTTTCTAACACTATCAGGAGATAAAAAATAATATTTTTTTCTATGTATTCTCTACTATATATCCCCCTGGAAAAAAATAGTTAGACTCGGTATTTTCGATATATTGTTACTATAAATCGACATTTTGAGAAAAGTAATTATATATTCGGATAGCCCGTGGAATTCTCTACAACTCTCTATGTATCAGTTTTGAATTGCATTTGTTTCCTGGAAATAAATTCAAGAATACTAAAAGTACCCTTATTGCCAGATTCCCACAAAAATTGACATCTCATTGATTTTTTCAAATTTATTTCCAGGAAACAAATGCAATTCAAAACTTATACATAGAGAGCTGTAGAGAATTCCACGGGCTATCCGAATATATAATTACTTTTTTCAAAATGTCAATTTATAGTAACAATATATCGAAAATACCGAGTCTAACTATTTTTTTCCAGAGGGATATATATCACATGTAAATTATCATCAAAAACCGATTATACTTAATCGGCATTCACTATCGTTCAATATCAAAGTAAAATAACTAACATAGTCGATATCAGTACAAAAACTACAACAGAACATACACTAATGCCTTTAGTTCATCAGGGATGCATTTTTCATGAATACTTTTCTTTAAGCTGTAATATCTCTGATTTGACGTATTTTTTATATTGATGTCAAATATACTATTCAATTTGGTCTAACATAGAGCTAGGATGAAAAAAAATCGACGAAATACACCAATTCATTTTTCAAAATTTCTTATGATTTTATGATTGAAATTTAAAACAATCTATTTTCTCAATACTAAAACAAAGTCGAAAAACCAAATGATATAGAGGCATTACATGTTCGACGTTCAATGATTCTAATGAGAGATGACACTGAATCTAAACTCTTCTCATTAAAGAGAAACATGTATTTATAAAAATATCTATCGATATATGATTGTTTTCGTAAATGTCGAAATCCAACCCTTATTTTAAGTAGATATCTATACCTATCCACTACTTGAACGATCTTTCCCTAAAATTTATGATAGAATTACGTTGTCTGTCACATGATCTATATAAATAGTATAGAATGTATAATGTGTAGTCGGAATATAGGATTTCATATAAGACAAACAAGTCAAAAAAAAATTTCCTTTAACTTCATTGAAATCAGACATGAAATGAATGGAATATATCTTTTTCTATTATGTTCAAACATTTCAATTCATTTTCATTCCAATTATCAACAGACAGGTTCAATAAAATTATGTTTATGAGATAAAATATGATATTTGACTATATTTATGATAATGATCAAATTTCATACGATTTCATGTACGCTTAGTCTGGGTTTGTTCAACAAACGACTATGGTTACGTTATTGTCTAATAGAGAGCGAATGAAAATTAACCTTCTTATCACCGTAAAAAACTAAAAGAAATTACATGACAATGAAGAAATGAACAAATTGTATTTTTTATTTAGAAGTCATGAACGTAATGGAATTTTGTTAATTATCGAACTTCATGTTCAACTAGATGATAACTTTCTAGTAAACTTTGTCAAGAGGATGAAATCCTGGCATTCTAATTTTCAAACGAAATTTTCATATGATTTGCCTATTTTCTATCGATAAATTTTGAGATGAACACGTTAACAGTCCAAGATGAATTTTCTTGAGGCTTCAACTATGTAAAAAGCTTTATTGTAGTGCTTAATACTTATAGAATATTGGTCGTGTGAAAATGACATTCGAAACAAATATTTTCGTTCTAATCACAAATGAATTCAGTCCGAGAATCGTAACTTGCTTTCGACCATGGAACTTTTTGTAACCTAAAAGATGGTATAGATTCTCTCTTGCAATAGTATACTAACAGCGTCATCAGATCCTGCATGACTAGGACGGTAGACAAAGTAAAGACAAAAAAAAGGCGTTTACACATTTCAATATGTATACGCCAGAAAAGAGTTGATGAATCATCAAAAACATATTAAGCGTTGATTAATACAAATCAATTTTAAACACATCTTGTCTGTTTACACTCATTTTTGGTGACTAATCAAACAATTTTCACCATTTTTACATTGACTACTTAAAACTAGTTAGTACATGAAAAGTTCTAGTCATTTTGGAGATTACAATAGTTTTTTTTTGAGACTATGGATAGTTTTCTTTTTATTTTTTCTATTGGATCTTGTTTTTGTTTTAGTTTCAGTATTCTACCATATTAAAACATCTCCAAATGCCTCAAATGTCATTAAGAAATATATAGATAGATATCAGTAAAGCAATGAGAAACTCAAATTTCATACGTATTTGAAATACTTGGTGAAGAAAATGATTTAAAAAAATAATTTATAGATATATTTGCATATTTTGTGAGTATCTTATTTCCAAAGTTTGAACCTTTCATCTCTCTATCATGACCTATTTCATTGTAATCGCTAAAAAATTCACTGATAGTCTTCAGTTTCATTATTGACTAATGTTTTATTACATCTCGAGTGATAAATTGATTTTTATTCGAATGAGCTCCCGAGTATCGAAATCGAATGATAGGATTTAATTGTAAGTGACAACGACATGCTAAACAGTCCTCAGAATAATCATATGTTCTGAGTTGATGCCGACATTGGCTAAGCGACATATTCCTATGAATATTACTACCAATTTTCATGGAGAG